GGGAAAGAACAAGTGAATCTTAGAAGTTAATCGTTTTTCCATACAAGAACAAGTATGTTTAAAAAAAAAAAAGTTTCAATAACTTTAAAACTCAGTCAAAACAAATATTTTCATTTCTTGCTAAATATGGAGCTAATTATTGCATTCGAGGTAACCATAACAACGGCAGCATTACTTAAGTACTTCCCATTGTGATTATTAGTAACTTTATTATAGTTTTACCAATCACATATAAACTATTTTAGTGTTTTTTTTATATATATAACTGATGTTTAGTTCACTGTGCTAAAGGCACAGTTTAACAAACCACAACAGATTTATGCCATGAAAATTATTTATATTTATAGTCAATAATTTAACATATTTAAAAGCAATTTTGAAAAGCATTTAAGTCGACCTCCCTGAAAGTCACTGTATAATTCACAGAATGACAACTGCAGACAACGACTATGAAAAGTCATGGAGAAATAGTCTTGTCTGCAACTTCAAGATCCTTTCAGCTTTATGTTTCACACAGATAGTGAACTCTGTTAGTCCATTAACCACATTTTTGGGTGTCCTCGTACAAATACAGCTGTGAAACCACTGTCAAAGCCAGCACACAACCTTATAACCTGTAGCTTTGCATCCCACATCCCAGAAAGCAGTTACAGGTTTCTCATCCATGTCTTTGACTCCTGTTGTGAGACATATGCTCAGCTCATATATTTGGCTAGTTGACCAGCGAGACCAGAGTCTCTTCTCTTCTGTATTCCCTTGCTACCTCCTTCCCCTCGTTCAAGGCACTGACAAATACCTCCTAACGTCAGGATGAGACTTATGATGTGAATGATGGAAACCCTCACTAAACGATCGCGCGTGTGCAACCTCCGGAGCCTTCCACCACATTTCGGCAGCCTTTTTTAACTCCGGCAGGATGTCAGGAACCACAAACTTCTCCGCCAGGAAGACCACAGGCAGCACGGCCAATAGCGAAGCCCAACCCACCACTCCCAGCCAATAGGACGGGCCGAGTCGACTGACGTCGTCCCTGATCTCACCAATATGTTGATGGGTAAAAAGCGCCCAGCTGAGAAAAAAGAAAAATCCTGTAGGGAAAAAGAAAATGGAGAAGGTTAAAACATGTGCATACTACATGGCTAAGGAAAGCTAAATAGCGAGGTACTGACCTGTAGGTAAGAGTGTGAGCAGCAGTAGTGTGGTCGGGTCGATCGCCTGGCCTGCCATCAGCAGCGAGCGAGTGTTCGAGTAGGAACGCACCGTTTGAGACGTCCAGCAGAGGGCGAACATGAGACACAGCAGTCCAGAGCTCACCGACATGAGGAAAGCCACCACTGCAAGCACTCTCTCAGCCTCCAGAGCTGTGGAAACCAGACATGGACAGAAACACCTTTAATATTCATGATTTACAGTGAACATGATACAGTATAACCTGCTTATTGGGCCCCAAAGTGAGCGGTGTGCCTTAAAAATCGCTTTATATATATATATATATATATAAAATTGTAATTTCACAATACAATATTGCATGTAATGTTAAAGCAAAGTCATATTTTATAGTCTAAGGTTCCCACTGACTTCCATTGTATTTTTTGTCCATATAATGAAAGTCAAAAGAAACCTTATATATCTTCTATGGCGTTCCACGTTCATTTTGGGGTGAACTATCCCTTTAAGAATGCCCAGCATAAAACCATGACAAGAAATTTCAGTTTGAGTGCTCTTGAAGAACAACATCTCATTATGAAACTATTTAAAACTGTACTGATCAGTCATTACTTCATCCTTCATTATTTACTTAATTTTTCATTTGTCTTGTTCTGAGGAAGAACTGAACTGAGGGGAAAACCAGACAGGCTACAACTAATAAAACATGCGAGTAATGCTAGTCCAGCGTGTCATAGCCTGTCTGCTGCAGCCCACCGAAGCGTAGAAACCCCTCCCAACACAAAACCATATCTTTATTTTACGCCAACGTTGGAAATTCAGAAGTTCACAGATTCCCACTCATTTGGCTGCTCTGTGCTTCTCGGCAGGTTAAAACCTGTAAAAATGCCACAAAAACACTAAAGCTTTCAGTTCCCATCAGACCTTCTAGCTATATATTTTAATACTCCAAAAACAAAGCTATGAAAGGCCTCAAAAGCAAAACGTAACAGGAATGCATTTAATTAGGCTTTTCATGCATCTTTTATAGAGGCCACATGAATGCAAGTTTCTAAGATCCAAAGCAGTTTTATAAAATGAATAAGGGCTACACATGGGCTACTAAAATGTTGCTGTCGCCCACATGACAGGTCAAAATCAAATCAAATAGCTTCGGAGGCATATGCATACTGTATTTTTGCAGGGGCACTAGTACCAATCATGATTCACTTCTTTCCCTAGCCAAGATAAAACATGACCAAAAAACACTTTTAACTTTTTGTTTAGCATGTAAGGCGACCCAGTTTTTTAAATATATTATATATTACAATTTAAAATAACAAAATATAATATGTAATCAAAGAGTTTGAATGACACTTCTGAATAACTTTTATTCCCCAAGATGTATGAGAAAAGCAGACACACATCACAAACCTTTAGCAATGTCTTCAGTGGTCCAGCTGTCGTCCAGTCTGGTCTGATTCTCTGAGGTCCACAGACCCCGGTCATCCAGCCACCGAGGGGTCCAGATCGCATAGCTGATGCACAAAGAGCCCATCAAGCCGAGACAGGATTCAATAAATCGAAAACGACTCCTCGAGTCAACCAGTTCTGGTCCTTGCATCGCTCTGTTGAGAAAAAGCGAATGATTAAACATACTATTACACAAACAAAAGTTGACAATTTAGCTGGAAACTAAACTTAAAGCATTACAGTTGGCAATTTCATCCGAAAATTAAGTAATCGTTGTTAGGTTTGCTTACCTTGAATGGCTAAAGTCTTTAAAATGTGTTCAAATGACAAAGATTTGATTCCACGCAGTACAGTGACGGTGACTGATCACGTTCAAATATCAAATGAATCAGTGAGACAGTATATATATATATATAGTGTGTGTGTGTGTGTGTGTGTGTATATAATAACTACTTTCAGCAAAGTGACACAAGAGGCTGAACCACAGTAACTGTGGGGATACATCATGAGGGTTGCTGTGTTGTCATGGCAACGACTAAACGGCACAGGAAAGAACCACTCTCTTTTCTCCAGCAAGGTGGGCTCACAGGGAAACCCCTGAACATGGTTATTTCCTGTCGCTCACATTCTGCCACAGACCTCAGATCAGTTTTGCCGTACTCTCACCAATACAAGCGAGACTGCGGCATCTGGTCTCAGGTCATTGTAAAGGAGCAACATAACACAATGAAAATCTAATTTAACATAAAACATTTTAATTAACGATTGATTCATTTTTTTTTCAGTTAGGAGCCCTTAAAACATTTAACATCAATGAAGATCTGAAACAAGGCATTTTCCTTGGAAACTAAAAACTGATAAGCAACCATGGTGTTAAAAAAAGGCATTTATGGAACAAAAACATCTTGTAAAGATAAGAAAAGTCAAAAAGTAAAGAAACGCATCACCTTTTATTATCCCAAAACTGATAGCCAAGTCAATTAAAAAGTTTTCCCCCCAACAAAATCTTAGAATTATTTAAAAACTATTTAGAGGTGTCATATAATACATTATTTTTCCCCTGAGTTATACTTTATAATGTTAGTAATATTTTAAGTGACGGTGACTGATCACGTTCAAATATCAAATGAATCAGTGAGACAGAAACAAGAGTGTTTTATGATGATGTGATTATGAGATGCTTCTTTCTCACTTCCCCCTCACAACACTGTAATATGACACTGTAAAGATTTCCCTCTACCCACAGTGGAGACCCACTCGCAATGGAAACTCCCCCCTCATAAACATACACTGTGAGTGGTTAAATTCCCCCAGAAACCCTGTGAGTGTTTCAGTGAGTCAATGTGGTTCGGAAAGTGAAAATGATATTTTATAAATCACTTTACTGTGCTCAACTGCTGCATTGTATCAAAAGTCCAGAACTGGAGAAGAACAGATACCATCAAAAAAAAATTTAAAGATAAGAAAAGTCAAAAAGTAAAGAAACGCATCACCTTTTATTATCCCAAAACTGATAGCCAAGTCAATTAAAAAGTTTTCCCCCCAACAAAATCTTAGAATTATTTAAAAACTATTTAGAGGTGTCATATAATACATTATTTTTCCCCTGAGTTATACTTTATAATGTTAGTAATATTTTATTTGGCACTATAAACAGTCATTTACAGAAAAAAAAATAAAAAATTTGCACTCTCTCTAGAACATTAAAAGGTCTGTCTGGTGCTTTGCCTTTAAGACGTTCATATAAAAATGAGCATCAGAACTTTGCTGCATTTACACACAGGCTGTCAACAAAGTTATTCTTCAATAAAAGTCTCTTTGCAAAGTCGAAACAGATTTTTGCCACTCAAACTTTTAAGATCTGACTGAAATGATCAGGGATCTTGTTAAAAATGAACATCTGTCTCTCGTTTCTAATGTTGGGATCCTTTGGAAGGACGTGCAGAGTGGCAGGTGTTACACACAGTTAGAAAAACTGCAAAAAATGCTTCTTAATGAGTTTTTAGTTAGTCTTTTTAGTAAAAATATCTAAAAAATCTTAAAATAAGATCAATTTACTTGAGAAATAACACTTCACAAGATATGAAGACTTGTCATAGACTATCTGGAATTCTGGAATAGCATTTTATCTTGCTGCACTATCAAATAAAATACACTTGTATTAAAGATACATTGTACAGTGCTGTTTCTTAAGTAAATTCATCTTGGTTCAAGTTTTTTGTTTTTGTTTTACAGAAAAGTCTAATTTAAAAACTAATTTTGAGAACAAAATAGGACAAAATCCTCATTAAGAATAAGATTTTTTTTTTTTTTTGAGAAGCAAGTTTTTGGTACTGAAAGTTGCAATATATTTCCATTATACAAAATTCGAATTTTAAAAGAAATTGATTCCTCACAATAAGACCCCTTTAAAACAACTCAAAGACAATAGATTGGATGCTTAGAATTTGATATGAGTGCAATTAAAGGGGCAGTCTCCAATTACTGTGATAGCCAGGGTAATAATTAAAGTATAAAAACCTCCAACAATAACAACATTTTCATATACTGCTGTGGTGACTCTCCATAATTGTTTCAATCTCTAATTACAAGGATCGCCGTTGTGTTGTTTCTGCAATTACAGACTTTGCCTCTAAACTGTACATGAGGTGAAAGTATCATTCATTAAAAAATGTATTTGTATTGACAGTTGCGTTGCACAAACTTGTTTCTACCAACTGTTACTCTATTTCCTGGCTTTATCGAGCAGGTCTGTGAAAACATCCAATTGTGTCGGGTCCTGTCCAGCAGCCAACTCTGGCTTGTGCTTCTCCAGCCAATCAGACACGTGGATCTGCTGTCGCAGCGTACCAATCAAAGAGTCCAGACTCTCTGAGCGGATGTCAGATTGGCCGTTAAGAATTGTAAAGTTTTCATCAGCCAGTGAGACGGGCTCTGTCTTAATGCGCACTGTGTCAAGTTTGGTTTGAACGCTGGAGGTCTTGTGTGTCTGCTCTTTGCACTCATCCATTGTCTTAGTGTCTTCCCTCCTCACGGTCCCACGACTGTCATCCTGTTCGTCACTTGTTGTCCTCTTTGTCTCAAGCACTGAAGAGCCCTGAAGTTCTTCTAATGCATTTTTAATCCTCTGCACACCTGGAAAACAAGGATGTGAAAGGAATAAATGCCAATCACATCCCCAGACTGCACAGGAGACACTACAAGAAGACAGGAACTGAAATGTGAATGAGAGTGATCGACAGACCTAGCTGCAGTTTGTGCAGTCGATCAGTGAAGATGATTCTGAACCAGCCTGGAGACACACAGCTGAAAATTTTTGGGCGAAATACACTTTTAAGGGGTTTGACTAGAATTCATTAAACACAACATTCAATTTTCCTTGACATGTAATGAAGTACATTTCAGCTCAGGGCACATTAGTTCATTAAGCAGAAAACTAAGTAAATTAGAATTTAAAAAGCACAGACGAGCGAGAGAGATAGTTTATGTGCATGTCTCTCACCCGTCCAAACTGAGAACACTGCAAAACTTGTCCGTCTCATTGAACACGGAGAGCATGTAAATCTCACCCATGATCACATGAAGCTTGTGCCTGGAGCAAATGAGAGAGAAAGAATGAATAAATTAGTGCCGCTGAGGGCAGAAATTGAAATTCAAATGACATTCGTGAACACAAATGTAATTTCTCGTCTATAACGTGCAACTTAATGAAGCATGTGGAAACATTTGGAAAACAAAGTGCCATCACAGACCCATAAGTTAGGCAAGCAAAAAGTTTTGAATGCCATTACCCCTACAACAAATAGGGTGCCAAGCTGTGAAGTTCAAATGTGATTTGTGATCATTTTATGGTAGCTCCTTGTCTCTGGTCACTATATGCTTTTATTATATGGAAAAAGAGCAGCATAAACATTCTTAAAAACATCTGTTGCATTACATGAAACAAAGTTATATGGGCTTGGAAGGAGTCGATATGATCATTTTCAGTTTTGTAATAACATACTTTTAATATTTCTGTATTGATCAAATGTCACTGGCTTAAGTTATATCACATATCAAAGATCTGAATCCGAATGAAAGAATGGCTTTGGTTCAGTGCTTGTGAGAAACAGTTTGAACTCACATTCTGGCGAACTGTAGAAAGCTGATCAACTCTTCAGACGAGTACATCTCTCCCAGTGGATTGTGGGGGTTTAACAGGATAAGGGCTCTGATGTTCAATCCCTATATAAAGAAAGTACAATTTTAAGAGATTCATACAGTGTGAGCATGTACACTGTATGTTTAAGTTTAAAAAATAACCTCTTTCTTGGCCCCTTTAAGAGAGTTCTCCAATTTCTCGACAGTTAGCTGGAATGGTCTGACATCACTTCCTGTGGGCTGTACCAACACAATAAAATACAAATAGAAATATAAGATGTAAAGCCACATGAAACAAAAAATAAAACGGCAGAAAACCACTATAACATGCCAATGTTACATTACAAAATATTACGAATTTTGCTAACCACCTGACTATAAAGTGGCACATGGTGCAGTTTGACAGTGCTGTACAAGCCCACATCCTCTGTAATCACACCATAGAAGGGCGACGGGATAAGAATGGCATCTGTAAAACACACACAATATCAAGTAACATTTCAGAGACATATGGCCACTTATGGGTTAATAATGCACCACCATCAAAAACTGTTTCGTTGTATAATTTTCTAATTTTCTCAATTCATTAAAAGGCTATGATCACTGAGAACTAACATTCTGATTTTCAGCAAGCAGATATTGCTATTGGTCTATACCTGATTTATTAGCCTCCCCATTATTCACTACCATTCAAACAATTGGGGTCAGTACGATTTTTTATTTTTGAAAGAAATTAATACTTTTATTTAGCGAGAATGTATTACATTGATCAAAAGTCACAGGCATTTATAATGGCACAAAACATTTCTATTTCAAATAAATGCCGACCTTTTGAACTTTCAATTAATCAAATAATCCTTGAGCACTAAATCAGCATATTTAATGATTTCTGAAGGATCGTGTGACATGACACACATTTTAAAATACATGAAAATTGAAAACAGTTCTTTTAAATTGTAATAATATTTCACACTATTACAATTTTTACTGTATTTTTAATCAAATAAATGCAGCCTTGGTGAGAATGTAAATAAATATTACAACCCCAACACAACTAGACATGAGACTAGACATATTCTGTGGTGACCAGATGGTCTGATACCTTCTGGGTCACAGAGCGTTGCTGCCAAAGCCGAGAACACAGACCCACAACCGTTCATAACAACAACCTGCGAAAGAACCGAAGAACATAAGCATGTGGCCTGGATTTCTCATTTAATAGAAAGAGGAAGACTAACAGAAATAATACCATAAATAATATAATGCTGATGTAGCAGAAGCAGAAAAACACTCACATTCTCAGGTTTTAGAGGTTTGGGAGAACGACAGTAGTCTGAGAGGAACTTAGCAACTTCCTCTCGAAGGCTTTGGGGAAAAGAAAGACCCAAGAACATCAATACTGTGAAATGAAAGCTGAACATGGGATTTTACACAAACATGAGAGTCAAATGATAGATTTTGCAGAAAAACAAAGAGACTTAAAAGAAGAAATAAAAATGGTCGCTTACACACTGTGGCCTTTCCAATCGGGGTATTGTAAGAAAGCAGGTTCAATGTGAAGCATGTCAGGTCGCATCAGCTGTTGGAGAAACCAAGAATCGGTCAACAACCATTATGACATGTAATATCCAGACTCAATGACAATTCTTTATATTTTTGTGCATTTAAAGATTGTTTCTTTTCTTTTTGTTGTAATAACCCTATAATATTCTTCTGAAAGCAATGTGAGTGGTGTTGATAGGGTGTTATAGACGGTTGCTAGGACATTGATATGCGGTTGCTAAGGTGTTCTGAATGGCATTTAGCTTGTTTTAATTCAGTTGCTAGGGTGTTTTGGGTGGTTGCTCACTGGGCAAAAGAGCACATTCCCCAAGACTCCCAAGATAGCGTGATATATATTATATATATATATATATATAGCACGTCATGCCATTTTAATGGGATTTTTTTTTATTGCTCACCAGGCGAAAATCACCGCTAATGAAAAAGGATCTTCGCTTATGAATGCTAAACAAGTAAATCACATCTCTTACCCTTTTCTGCAGGAGGTCAAAGCACAGCTTGTTTTCACTGGTTCCTAAGTTTATAATGCCCTGAAATAAATATTAAAAACCACAGCAAATTACCACACAACAGAAGCTGTCCCAAGAAACTTGTGGCCTCTGCACTAACCAAAGCACTGCCTTTAAAATCAATACTTGGTTTATACAAGGTCTATAATATCAGAACAAATGAGTACTCTCATACAGAGAATGAACTAAGCAAGTGACTGTAGATTGGTAATGTATTTTAACAAATCTTCTCTAATATAAGCAGTTTTTTTAGATCATATTAATCTTGATTTAAACTGGAATATTGTTTTCGAAATGAATGATGAAACTGATTTAAAAATGAACATGAATTTGTCACACAGCAAGATGATTTAAAATGAACTAATTAAGGAAAAGAGGTGATTAAAATTGTACAAAAAGGCTAGGCACAGGGAGTGTACCCTTTACTTGAAAATTCAATATTTTCACAATTTAATTTAAACTAGGCTTTTATTTTAACTCCCTTCCACCACTTCTTATACATGACTGTTATTTACTATCATGTGGTTTTGAACTGTGCAGTAAAATGTGATTCTGCACTGTGCAGTATTTTTTTTCTAATCAGTCATTTGTTCATTTCTGCATAAAACAGGTAGAATACATTTTTTCTGGACTTTGAAAAGTAAATGATACATTTTATACTTTTATATACCCATATTACAGTTCAAAAGTTTGGGGACAGTAAGGTTTTATTTTTTGCTCACCAAGGCTGCATTTATTTGCTGAAGAATACAGTAAAAACAGCAATATTTTGAAAAATATGATTACAATTTTAAATAACTATTTTCTATTTTATTTTAAAATGTCACTTATTCCGGTGATGCAAAGCTGATTTTTCAGCATCATTACTCCAGTCCTTCAGTGTCACATGACCCTCCAGAAATCATTCTAAAATAGGCTGATTAGCTGCTCAAGAAACACAGTTGTGTTTCCTAATATTTTTGCGAAAACTGTAATATATATTTATTCATGATTCTTTGATTAAAGTCCGAAAGAGCAGTGTTTACTTAAAATAGAAATCTTTTATATAGTTATAAATGTCTTTCCTGCCACTTTTGATCAGTTTTATGCATCCTTTCTGAATAAAAGTCTACATTTCTTACCAAAAAAATTAATAAATCTTATATAGGTATAAAATGTTTAATTTATTTTTCCAAATCCAGATCATAGTACAATATGTTTCATGCAGAAAATTGTAATCGATAATAATAAAGCAGTACAGCTTCCAGGGAGACTAACATGTGGGTTTGAATTCTCGTCGTGCTTGTTGGCGTGATACTGGTTGTAGCCTTCCTGCAGGATTCCGTGGTGCAGCCGCATGCTGTTGCCACGGCAAGACAGGTACGGGCTGTACTGGGCCGTCTGATCACCCCAAAGCATGCTGGGTACAGTTTTGGCACTGTTGGGTAACAAACAGGGGAGCAAGGTTTGTGATGTGCTGGGCACCGGGAACGTTTCCCTGCTGGTGGAGGCACTCTGGTCTTCCGCCCCACGTGATGAACTCAGGACCCTGGTCAACATGGACATGAGACGAAACTCATGATCTCTCTCTTGCTTTGCTCGTCTCTCCTCCTGCTGCTCCCTCCGCTCCTCAGCCCGTGCCTCCTGCTGCATCCGGGCCTCCTCCAGAGCCAGGAAACGCTCTTCTGCTGTCTGCTGCCAGCTTAGATACCCAGCCAGAGCATTCGATAACACCCCTTCGCCCCCACGTCCCACTCGGCGACGCTTCCTCTGATGGAATGATCCGGAACCCCCTTCTTGGTCGCCATGGCTACCTCCTTCTCTCATTGCCATGGGAGCTGTTGCCGGGGATACTCCTGCATTGGAGGAGCCAGTCATGTTCTGGTCACTGCAATCTGTGGTGTGATATCATCAAAAATGACACATTAAATCAGTCAATCAGAGAAAAAAGACCAAATAAAAACTTAATTAAAAATTAACTAAACAATTATCTCAATTTTATTAAAGCGACAGTTGGTGTGATAACATGGCAGTACTGTAAAGAACATCTGCGGTGCTAAAAGTAAGGCACTGGATGGCAAATCACTGCCAACAGCAGAGACACAACAAAGGGTTTGGCATAAATACTGCAATAATGCCTGTACACCGTTAAACTGCACAGACCCTCTAAATAAATATGGATTATATTAGCTAAAACTGGTAGGTCAGGCTCATACAGTAGTTCAACTTTTTCTTGACGTTACATCCATGCAATGGTTTTTTTTGCACATTGTTGCAATGAAACAGTTTCATGCACATACTAATGAAATGCACAAAAAATAAATAATAAACATGCCAGCCAAATGCATAAATGTATAAATATATATACTACCATTCAAAAATTTGTGGTCAATAAAAAAAAATTTACATTTTTTTTTTAAGGAAATTAATACTTTTATTCCGCAAGGATGCATTAAACTGATCAGTAATAGTGACAGTAAAAAAAATTATAATGTTGCAGAAATCTTCTATTTCAAATAAATGCTGTACTTTTGAATTTTGTAATATTCTGAACAAAATGTATCATGGTTTCCACAAATATATTAAGCAGATGTTTTCAACATTGTGTCTTGAGCATCAAATCAGGATATTAGAATGATTTTTGAAGGATCATGTGACACTCAAGACTGGAGTAATGATGGTGAAAATTATGTTTTCCATCACAGGAATAAATTACATTTTCAAATGTACATTAAAATAGAAATAGTTATTATAAATTGTAATAGTATTTCATAATATTACTGATGTTACTGTATTTTTGATCAAATAAATGCATCCTTGCTGAGCAAACAATAAATAAATAAATAATAAAAGTCTTTCAAAAACAAAAATCTTACCAACCCCAAACTTTTGAACAATTGTGTACTGTGTTAAGCAGATGGTGTTTTGTTACGGTTTCTTTGTAGTTTACTGAAGTCAAGGCAGATGTTTTTTTATATCATTCAAACATAAACATTTATTTTTATGCTTTTAAATTGTATACTGTAATTGATATTATGCTGATTTAAATATGTGACCAAGGTAACATTTTCTACTTGGCTAACACAGATAATGAATGTTGTCAAATTAGTAATTGTCAAAATTGCAAGAATAACCTGTGATAATAATTAGTTAGAATGAGTTGAATATTTCTAATCAATTTATAATAATTACCATTATTTTCCAAAAAGAAAAAAGAAAAAAATTGTTTATGAATTTATAGCTGTAGTGAATAGCTGTATAAATTCCATGTGTTATTGCAAATTAAAAACAATTTGAGTTGAATTACTGAAATAAATTAACTTTTCCACGACATTCTAATTTATTGAGATGCACCTGTAGTCTGTTTCTGTTCATATAAAGAAAACTTAAAGGACAAAAAATATAAAATATGTTGAAAATTAATTTTAATAAAATTGTGGTGGGACCAGTGAAAATGCTGACAGGGTGAGAAATCTGAACTACTTGCCTCCCAAAAATCTCAATTATTGAGCAATATGCATATATAAACATTGATCTATCTATCTATCTATGCAACAAATGTCTGTATAGTGGAACATCTGTGTTTAATATTGTGTAGTACATCATTCAGATGATGTTTGGTTTCTGTTGCACTGTAATCACTGAAGTGTGTATCTGTATTTACACATCCATATCTGTCTATCTGTTCATCCATCCATCCATCAACAGACCGTTTAGGATACCTGATTGGGAACAGATGACATGTGCGTTTCCCTGCTCTCCGTCCATCTCAGTGTTCTCCTCTGTGTTTGGACCCGCATGTTTGTGTTCAGCAGCGCCTTCATCATCCTCATCAACAGGTCCGAACTCATAGATCATCTCAGGCGGGCCCGCCGCTTCATCATCGGAGCTCATCACCTCCGTCTTGATCTCCAGCATTTCACCTACTCTGGGCGGGTGACCCGGCGCCTCTGACCCCTGCAGTCCGGTTGCCTGGTTCGTCACCGTACCGCCCCATAAAGGCAAAGTCGAACCGGAGGTTGCGGCGGATCGGTTGCTCTGCGCCCTTTCCATCAGCTCGTAATACCTCGCGGATCTCAAAGTCTTCTGCTTGTACTCCAGCTTCAACTTTTTGATCTTCTCCCTGCACTGATCCCCGGTCCGATTGATGCCCTTCTGCCGCAGAGTGCTGGCGATTCGGTTGAACACATGCTGGTTTCTGAGGCAGGTCACTAGCTCGGTTTGGACCGGCACGTCCGACCAGATCTGCAGCAGCTCAAGCACCTCTGGTTCGGACCAGTTGCTGCCACGTTCATACTTCTTACCGTAGACGTGAATCAAATGCATTGCAGCACTACAAATAAAGCTACAGTGTTATATTTATAGACTGCTGCAAGTATGTTCACGCATTGGTCTGGTACCGCGTTTATATGACTAAAAAGCAAATGCATTAAAATATTAAAACTCCAACGAGTGAGTAACTGTAATCAATCATCTAAAACGAGCGCTGGTACTTTATCCGGACCGGAACCAGATTCCTTTACTTTCTAATAATAGTCTCGATCATGCATTTTCAGCCTCGATCATAAGAACCTTCAGGGAGGAAAACAGGTAGGTGTACCTCAGTGTACTCTACTGTAACTTTTGAGTGCTGTACTCTGTTACAACACATGCATCAAATTGCCTTACATACAGATAGAGTTTCTGTCTGCTTCCATTTTGTAAAAAGGATGTTACAGTTACAGTAATCAGTACATCTATTTTTGTAGGACACAGAGACGATGGAATGGAAAGCCTGACTAGACATTTCAGCTGATGCCAGGGGTGGATTAGGCATGCAAGAGGATTTCCCCCCCGCTGCTAGGGCCAGTATAGCCTGTGATGTTGATGAGATTCTCTGGCCTGACCCAGAACAAAGATGTGATGCTGGGGCAGAATATTTTTTGTTGTTGTTTGGTGTATTGTACTGTACAGTACATTAAGGAATAAAAAAAATGTGTAAATGTATACACATGTGTTCATTATGTGAAAAGTTCCTTGAGGGGGAGAACCACAAGCGCTTGTACTCCAGCTTCAACTTTTTGATCTTCTCCCTGCACTGATCCCCGGTCCGATTGATGCCCTTCTGCCGCAGAGTGCTGGCGATTCGGTTGAACACATGCTGGTTTCTGAGGCAGGTCACTAGCTCGGTTTGGACCGGCACGTCCGACCAGATCTGCAGCAGCTCAAGCACCTCTGGTTCGGACCAGTTGCTGCCACGTTCATACTTCTTACCGTAGACGTGAATCAAATGCATTGCAGCACTACAAATAAAGCTACAGTGTTATATTTATAGACTGCTGCAAGTATGTTCACGCATTGGTCTGGTACCGCGTTTATATGACTAAAAAGCAAATGCATTAAAATATTAAAACTCCAACGAGTGAGTAACTGTAATCAATCATCTAAAACGAGCGCTGGTACTTTATCCGGACCGGAACCAGATTCCTTTACTTTCTAATAATAGTCTCGATCATGCATTTTCAGCCCGATGCTTTTGTTCTTTATTCAAACAAGTCCTGATACATCCGGGTTCACGGCACATGCGTGCTGCCCTTATTCCGGGATAAATTTGGACCGTGACAATAAAGAACGGCGCTGCGCATGCGCTGAAAGAGGAACGTTGAGGCAAGAGACTCATTTGTTGCATAGGCGCGCCATCTAGTGTTTACACTAATATGTTTGAAGCGTTGCAATATATTTATTTACTTATTTACTTCTACTTGTTAAGGCAGACTAACATTTGTGAATGTTATTTGATAACAAATTAACACATATATATATATATATATATATATGTATAAATGTTTTTTTCATGACTTTAGTGTGTCTGATGTTTACTTTCAGCAAGAGTGAATGGTTTTGAGTGTAGAGCTTCATTTTGACCTGAAAATAGGATGTTTGGGGAATTGGGTGAGACGTTATGGATTTGTTTACTGTTTTGAGAATATGAGGCATAGTTTCAAGAAATGTTTAAGCAATCGAGAAAAACTGTAACATTAGTTAACTACTGAACATTAGTCAACATTAACAATAATAAAAATACTTCTAAAGCAATTATTCATCTCAGTTAATGTTAATTTCAACATTTACAAAAACGTTATTGAAAACAGTAATAAGTTATGTCTGTTTACATTATTTGGACGTGAGCAAACAAATATCAGTTGTATTAATTAATGAACGTCAACAAAGATTAATAAATGTTGCAACAAATGTATTGCTCATTGTTAAGTCAATGCATTTTCTTATGGTGATTCTCATTATAATATTTCTATTACAATCAGCATAACTGAAAGGCAATAAAACAAATATCACCATGGTGTATAAATAATTTATAATTTGAATAATGGATTCCTCCTTAAATCCTTCCTTTCAATCCTAAACAAGAATAAAAGTGTGATGTAAATAAAGCATTCATTGTTTTTTGTTGGAGCTGCAGGCTTAAGACTTTTATTTTATTTATTTTTATTTTTTTTTATTTTTTTTTTAATATTTTTTTTTTTTCGATTTTACTTTTTCTTTTTTTGCGATACTTTGGCAATAAATAAAAAAATCATGGAAGGACAAAAAATCAGCTTAGCAGGAGCTGGGTTCAGTGAAGATGAATCCTTGAAAGAAATTCTGTTTTCTTTCGTGACCTGCATGCTGCTGCTGCCGGAGTAAAAACATTGACAAAACTGTAAATCTAATATATGACTTTCAAAGCAAACATTATGCTGATTACATTTGGCTCTCCACACTGACAACTATCCAACTGTAATCTGATTCATTCACAGCAATGAAAATTCTGTCATCATTCACCATTCACTTTCATTGTGTGCATATGTGATGAAAATGAACAGCTCCTAACGTTAACAGTCCTGCAACATTAGTCAGAATATCCATTTCTGGGTAAACTGTTTCTTTAAGATTGCAAGATATGCATTTACTACTGGTACTGTATTTAAAAGAGGTCTGTGATTAGGTAAAATTTTAATTATGAACAGTGTGTCTGGTCTGAATCCTGCAGATGGAGCCCGCGAATCACAGACCACAAATAGGCTCATGCCATGACGTACTTCCTGGGAATTGTAGGCCATTTGTGATTATCGGGGATTTGTGTACGGATGTATTACGGAGCCCGTTATGTCTATAGAACAATAAAGAAGACGCTACCGATGGCACGTGACACCACAGAGGTTTTAATTTAATTTACAAACAGTTAGATTTTAAGTATACCATGTAGACTGGCAGACGCAAGATTAATAAATAATTAAAATAAAGGACTACAGGAAGACGCGCGCGCTGTTGAAAGTTTCATCGATCTGCGCGCTCTCGTCGCGTGACGCCGAGTTGAGTTCACTGGGGTCTGGCGGAACGGGTAAAAACATTGACAAAACTGTAAATCTAATATATGACTTTCAAAGCAAACATTATGCTGATTACATTTGGCTCTCCACACTGACAACTATCCAACTGTAATCTGATTCATTCACAGCAATGAAAATTCTGTCATCATTCACCATTCACTTTCATTGTGTGCATATGTGATGAAAATGAACAGCTCCTAACGTTAACAGTCCTGCAACATTAGTCAGAATATCCATTTCTGGGTAAACTGTTTCTTTAAGATTGCAAGATATGCATTTACTACTGGTACTGTATTTAAAAGAGGTCTGTGATTAGGTAAAATTTTAATTATGAACAGTGTGTCTGGTCTGAATCCTGCAGATGGAGCCCGCGAATCACAGACCACAAATAGGCTCATGCCATGACGTACTTCCTGGGAATTGTAGGCCATTTGTGATTATCGGGGATTTGTGTACGGATGTATTACGGAGCCCGTTATGTCTATAGAACAATAAAGAAGACGCTACCGATGGCACGTGACACCACAGAGGTTTTAATTTAATTTACAAACAGTTAGATTTTAAGTATACCATGTAGACTGGCAGACGCAAGATTAATAAATAATTAAAATAAAGGACTACAGGAAGACGCGCGCGCTGTTGAAAGTTTCATCGATCTGCGCGCTCTCGTCGCGTGACGCCGAGTTGAGTTCACTGGGGTCTGGCGGAACGGCGGGAATACTCCGTAACGGTTCCTCGGCGGATGTGCTTTAAATTTCCATCGTGAACGGAGTTCATTTCGGAGCTGTAGTTAGTCTGAAATGTAAGCCCGTTACCGGATTCCGAGGCTGTGGAAAGCGAAATGACAGCTCGGTTCGTGCTTGAGGAGGGGTCAACGGTCTCATATCTGAGGTAAATGACAGTTCGTGTGTTTGTCGTTGTTTAATTTAATTAGAACGGAAAACTGAGGTGAAGTTAAAGAAAATAACGTTTTTATTTACTAAATTTATTCATGTCATATTAAGCTTTTACGCTTTAGTCCAACTTCTGAGAGCAGTTTCATACAATTTGCTGTGAAGAATTTGTTTTTGACGTTATTTTTTTTTATTTGGACAGTAACGTTAACGTTATATTTTTGTTTTCGTTCATTTTTATGGATGACAAAAAGTGACTGTTTCGTTTATTTTCTTTTACGCACATTGGTTTGAAGAAGCCTTCTTATAATTATTATTATTATTGTTATTATTATTTTGTAATATCAAAAAGGTGACCAAAAGAGATACTTAACTCAAAAATAATCTAATGTTGTTCCAAACCTAAATAGAAATGTCTCGGTCACCGTTCACTTTCATTGCACCTGTTTTCCATACAAATAAATTAACAGTAACGTTAAGGCTGTTATTCCGCCGCACGCCTCCTTTTGTTTTCCACGAAAGAAAAAAACACATATTTAAAATTTTCTAAACTGACTCCAAATCCTCCGAAAGATTTATTATCGTATTGCACGCCCAGTGTTTTCAGTGTAATTGAATGATTTCCGATGCTCTGACTGATTTACGGTGCATGCGAGTTTTCTTGTGAACCAAATAAAAATTCTTAGTGTTCAGTGCAGGAACGTTAAATGAATGCAAAGCGAGCATAAAGACACTGTTGTGATACTCTTTGTCTCACGTAGTTCATATGATGACTGTGTGATGGTCCTTAGAGAATATCAATCATTGTATTTATATCATATCATTATAAGTGTCCTTTGACTTGTCTTGAAACATTCGTTCTTTTGGCAGGTTTTGCTTATGAAATCTGGCTTACCCAAAGGTTTTTTTTTTTTTTTTTTAAGAACAGGCAGTGTGGTCATCTTCTGTTCTGATCCTGACAAGAGAGAGAGAGAGGAAAAAAGAGGTAGAGATAAACAGTGTATATGTGTGCTGTCTCTCCCTGTCTAATGAGTGACTAAGCACTTCGGTTACTGCCCTTACAGAGCCATCATGGATCATTAAAGCTTTAGTAGTTGTAGTTGTGTTTGATGAGGAGTTATTAAGGCATAGTAATTACTGTTCTTTCTTCCCTAGAGAACACACTATAAAAATTTGGCCCACCAGCATACAGTAGCATCGCCCGGGACATCGCCTCTCGCAAGCATGCAATCTGTCAGATCCTCGGAGACAGATAGATAATCTTTCTTTCCATTTGATTCAGGCCTTAACG